AATGCTGGGAAAAAGAAGCCGAGTCAGGCAGTCGCCCTGATTCTCCTGCCGGACACAGATGCAGGTTAAGATCCTCCCTGGTAAGCCACCTCGTGGGCTACACAGCACCATCATAAAATAAAGTGAAATCTGTCTTCTCCTGTTTCCAACTTTTTTTTTCTTGTTTCCAACTTAATAGGTTCCTTTTCTTCTTGAAGTCAACTTGTTTCATTTTTACTGGGCTCCCTTCTGCATGTTTCCAAAAGCACTCTTTAACTACTTAAGGTAACCTGAGTCTCTTCCTTGCAACTGGATGAGCCTAAGAGTATCTTAGAATACTTGATTTTGGCAGCAGTGCAAAGAACGGAAAAGAAACAAACAGCAGAAGACAGAAAGCAAAAATTTTAACCATTTAGAAAGCATCACAGAAGCCTAAGAGGCATTTGAATTTAAAAGAAAGAATACAGAAGAAAAGAAGGTTGTGAAATATTACGATAAAGAAGGTGCAAGAAATAATGACAAACTGAGCCAGGCAGTGCTGGCACATGCCTTTAATCCCAGCACTCAGGAGGCAGAGGCAGGCGGACCTTTGTGAGTTCGAGACCAGCCTGGTCTACAAGACCTAGTTCCAGGACAGGCTCCAAAGCCACAGAGAAACCCTGTCTCAAAAAAAAAACAAAAAAAAAAAAAAAAAAGAAAGGCAAACTGGATATTAGTGGTACAACTAAATAGAATAAAAGACAATTTTTATGAGTTCCTAAAAAATTGATGAGAACAGAGGGTGCCATTAATCAAGATAAGAAATCAAGATAAATTGAATAGCCGTTTCTGTCTGTTCTACCGTTCCTACTTTTGTGGGGAAGAGAGGCAGAGACAGTTCTGTTTTATTTTTGGGTTGGAGTACTTAGGAAATGTGACACCACCACAGAGGTCTTTTACCAGATGAGGTGTAAAGCAAAGGCACGAGTTCTAGACAGCCTCTGTAGACGCAGGGATCAATACATTACACTGGAATGCTTTCGGTTGGTTGGGGAGTTATGTTTTGTTGTTGCTTTGTGGGTTGTTTGTTCTTTTTGAGACAGTCTTTCTACTCAGCCTGGCTTGCCTTGAATTATTGGCAATCCTGCTTCAGGCTCCCTCAGTAATAGAACTGCAGACCTTTTTTTTTTTTCTTTTTTTGGTTTTTCGAGATAGGATTTCTCTGTAGCTGCCTGCCTCTGCCTCCCAAGTGCTGGGATTAAAGGCATGCACTTGGAACTGCAGTTCTCTAATACCATGCTTGACTCAAGTTGATGTATTTTTAAAAAATCTGAAAAGTAGTCTGACTGTTTACTTCAAACTATTAATATTCCTAAAAAAATCAATCATTCAATTTTTTTTTAAACTTAATATTTAATATCCTTGGCCAACTTACTCTCAAACTTTCTGTTCCCCTTTGAAAATGTAATGACTGAGAGGCTGAAATAGACAAGAGCACTTGCTACTCTTGCGGAGGATGCAAGTTCAAACCCCAGCACCTCTAACAGGCAGCATACAAATGCCTATAACTCCAGCTTTAGGGGAGTTGATGCCTTTTTCCGGCATCAACTGACACTGACACTGGTAGACACATACATGGTAAAAATTAAAATAATTAAATAAAAAATAATAAAGATTGGATAAAGATCTGCATAATTCAAAATGATGAGAAAAATAGGGCATATATTACTAATTTCTACTTAACTAATATGTCTTTTGAAACATATTAAGTTTAGCTGAGCAGAATGGTGCAAATTAGCAGTTCCAACTACCTAATTAAGTAGCTGAGGCAAGATCAACTGAGCCCCAGAGTTCAAAATACATCAGCAGCTATATACAAAGCAGCAAATCACCATCAAATTAAAAACAAAACAAAAACAATGAATTTATACCATCTCTTCATAAACTGTATATCACTAAATTAATTCAAATTTAAAGTCCTACATTAGCACTGTGTGCTAGCACCTCTAATCTTAGTGTGCTCAAGAGTTTGAAACCAGCCTAGGCTATATAGAGAACTCTAGGACAACTATACTAAATGGAAAGACACTATCTCACAGCTCAACTGATAGTGTCTGCCTGGCATTCAATTCACAAAGTCCTGGGTTCAGTCTAGAGCACTGCATTAAAGAGACAGCAGCACATTCATGCAATCCCAGCATTCCAGAGGTAGAGTTAAAGAGTTCAAGACCAGCCTGGGCTACATGAGTTTTGAGGGACATGAGACCCTATCACAAAAAATAGTAATAGTGAGACTGGAGAGGTTCCTGAGAGGTTAAGAGTTCATCCTGTTCTTGCAGAGGACCCTAGTAAGGTTCCTAGAACCTACTGTCCAGCTGCTTTAACTACTTCTAACTCCAGCTTCAGGGGGGGTTCTAACACATTCTTTTGGCTCCAAACACTCTCATGCACATAAGCGCACAAAGACATACTCTAAGAAATAAAAATAAGATTCTAAAAAGTAACAGAAATACTAAAAAGTAGTAAAAATAACACATTAGGTTGTGGTTTTCACTAATAAAACTTTTGAAAAGAACTTAATCTAGGTTTTTATGAGCTTTAACTATGGTTTCTGCCAGAAATCTTTTCCCTCTATATACATCTTTGCTTGCAAAATTTACTACTAACACAAACCCCATTTTATGAATTTCAGTCACAAATTCATCTGTCTAATAGCCAATAATTTAACATGTCACAACTGAACCTATCCTTCTGTCATGAAGTAAAAATATTCATCATGTGGCCCCCACTTATAAGGGAAAAGATTAGCAAGATATCTAGAATTCTGTCCTCTCTGTATTCTCTTCCCTCAGATCACTAAGACTAGTCAACTAGCTTATTCTATTTTATTTGTTTGTTTTTTGATATTTCAAGACAAGGTTTCTCTGTGTAACAGTCCTGGCTGTCCTGAAACTTGCTGAGATCCACCTGCCTCTGCCTCCCAAGTGCTGGGATCTAAGGTGTGTACCACCACTACTGCTCAGCAACTTTATTCTACTTTTAATCTGCTCTAAAGTGACTTTTAAAAATACAAACCTGAACATTTTTCTGATAAATATAACCACCACCAAAATTAGTCGACAGTTGTTCAGAAAGTCAATGAGAACATCACTTAGATATACTTCTTTGTATATCTCAGAAAGTCAACAAGAACATCACTTAATCTTCTTTGTATAGGTTCATCACAAAAATCAGATTTTTTTTTCAAATCGAAAATCATTTATACATAACAGAACATACATTTAAAATAAAGCATTCAGAAAATTTTGGAAAAGGACTGAAAATAAATCCATATCCATCAAAATGGAATGCTATCAGTCAGTAAATGAGGTTTTTCCATGCATACTATTGCTGAATGATAACGGGCACTTAGCAGTGTTATTTGAAAACAGAACCATTTGTGTGTAACTTCTGTATCTTAAGACTGTAAGTAGATATAAGCTTGTAAATGCTGGAAATATCACCCCATACCAGTTACAGAAGCTGAAAAATAGAAAATGAGAGGCTGGAGATTAAACTTTTTTAGAACTACATTATTGTTCTGACCCTTTCGACTTTTAAACAGTGTCTCACTAGTACCTATAATTCAATTGATTTTTCTCCCTATATTACACGAAGGCACACACACAATGAAAAAAATAAAACTTTAAGTACTAACTACAAAGATCTTATTATCCCTCACCCTTGCATCAACATTAAAATTATACCCTTAACACTTAATTTAACATTACATTTCCTTTTTTGCATCTCAGGAGTACAGCTTCAACAAACATTTTATTCATTATTCTACTACTACTGAGAAGGCTATTAGCAATGACTTCGACACTGAATGACATTTATATCTGCCCCGTGGAGAAGACAGCAACATCCGTTGGTTAAAAATTACTGAACAACCTTAGTCTTCAGGGGTGAACAGCTATAAACCCTGTTTTCCTAACAAGTTCAAAAACAGTACATTTAAAATTCTGTATAAATCTACAAAGAGGTGAGATAAATACTATATAGAGACTTGCTTATCTTCATTGGCATAATGCAACTTAATCCTTACAGAAGCCCCTAAAGCGTCTGATTTAGACTAGTTCTTTCGTTCTACTAAGGCAAGATGAGGAGCAAGCAAGCTGCTCGACCTTGTAATGGTACACACACCCTCCTTCTCTGAGATTCTACACTCTTCCCTCTCTTCCTTTCAGCAGCCCGCCCAAAGGGTCCAAACATGGGTCTCAGTCTGACCGCTTATAATATCCAACAGCGTGAATATACTGGACTAAGTAAATAATCTTTAAGTTTTCCTGGAAATTTCTTTACAAGCGAAGAAAAGATCCCGACTGGGTAGAAAACAGGTAGCACGGTTTGCTTAAGGAGTGATCTTCTAAAAAAAAAAAAAAAAAAAAAAAAAGGTACACACCACCAGGGAATGGAGGAGATCCAGGACTATGTTGGTGATTTGAAGGGCTGACCCGAGACCTACTAGGTAACAGCATCATGACATTGGGGCTATCTGAAAGCTTGTATGGGTAGGAGGAAAAGCTAGCCAACCCGACTGGAAGTAAGCTGCGGAAGGGACCCTACGAAGGCAGGGGTAGCGATGATTCGTAGGAGAACCAAAGATCTGGGACGCTGCAATGGGGTAGGAAGCACTAGTGGCCGTGGCCCCGGGACTGGGATCCGTCCAGACGTAACGGAGTCTAGAGGCTACAATCAGAGTCCTAAGAGAGTCGAAAGGGGTTCTAGCAGCAGGGGGGGCGGGTGGGGGGTGACAAGAATCGCCGCGGCCGCTGCTGGACAGAATGTTGTCTGGTCAATGAAAGGTATGAGGGAGCAGAGTCTAGAGGGGGATTCCGGCCGCATTCGGGCGTTCGCCAGGCTACAGAGGCAGAGCCGCTCGCGGGGCGTCTCCGCCGAGGCGGGGCGGGGCAGCCTGCCGGGAGCCAAAGAGTCGAGCGGGAGACGTGGGCCGGGCCAGGCCAGGCGGCAGGGCCGCTGGGCGCTGGGGCGGGTCTTACCTCGGGCTGTGCCGCGGTGGCCACCACAGCCCCTTCCTCTTCTGCAGTAGCCGCTTCCCACCCTCGGTTTCCAGGGTCAGGCCGGACAAAAACAGCAGAGGCCGAGGCCGCCGGGGGTCGGACGGTTCCGCGAGGGTGGGCCCAGCCGCCCTAGGGTCCGAGCAAGCGGCGTCCGCGCATCCCCCGCCCTGTCACAGAGACTCCGCCCGGCCGGGGCAGGCACATCCCCGCCGCACCCCGCCTAGAGAGCACGCGTTGGAACGGCCGCCTCAACCCGCGGTCTCTGCTTCTGCCCGCGGGACCGGTATCTGCGCCGCAGTCCCTCCCAGTCCTGCCAGGACTTTCCGTCAGCCACCGCCAACTGCCTCTGCGTCTCCAGTCCGCTTGGGCCTGCGCGCCCGCGCCCCCGACCCCGCTCACGCGGCCCCGCCCCGCGCGACTCTCCAGCGGCAGACGAGCAGGCGCGCGCGCACTCACCTCCCACGCCCCCTGCTGCCAAGCCCGGGTCGGCCCCGCCCGGCCCCGCCTCCGCACGTGACGCCACTGGAGCGTGCGGCATGCGCTTGCGCGGACACGCCCCGTTCCCCCCACCCCCGGCTGGCCCCGCCTCCCTTTTCCTTCCTCACTTTACGGCCGTGCTGAGACCTCCTTGTTAGAATCTCTCGGCTTCTATGCAGAAGTGTCGTAAGGTTGGAGAGGCAAACTCTGAGTTTGCGACCTTAGGTCTCATTTTCCGGCCAGCACAGAGATCCCTGAAGGCTGGTTGGGTTGGTGAGGCCTGAGGAATAGGTAAGATGCCTCCTCCCCACTTGGGTTTGTCTCAGTTTGTGGAAACAGTGAGTCGCTTCGCGGTCTACGCAGACTCTAGCGTATCCCAGCCCCTTCCCCATTCTGCGGCTGGATTCTCAGCGCCGCCCCTTTCCACACACGCATGCCCCCCCTTGTCCCCGCCCTCGAGTCCAAGTATTTCTTTCCATTCATTCCAGACTGTTCACTGAGTTGCTTCTGTACTGTAAGCCCCACCATATCAGAAGGAAATGAAATAATCTCAGTTTTTCGAGGCGCTGTGATGTAGGAAACAAAGAATCCTCAGTGGTAACACAATAAAATAACACAGGATGATCTGAACACAAACTGGGGGAATCCATGATTGCAGAGGACTTTTCCCAAATAGCTTTCAGGCCTGTTGGAAACTTGTATTAGAACCCGTAACTAGTCGGAAGAAAGTGGGAAAAGTAACATGGCCATGAGAATGGCTAGTACAAAAAAGCATGTGATAGCGACCTAGAAGACTAAAAAGCAAGGGGGTTGCCATATACCTAGCGTATACCGCCAATTATAACAACCAGACTATGTGGCGAGTTTGAGGCCAGCCAGAGTAAATAGCAAAATCTTGATCACAAGAGAAAAAAAAAAAAAAACTTACTAGAACGAGTGAGGGAAATGAAGAACCAAATGTAGGCACAAAGGCTGTCTTAAAAGATGACCGGTTACCTGAATTGTCTGGCCTGTAATCCCAGCTCCTGAAAGAGTAAGACAGTTGGATCGCTAAATAGGAAGCCAGTTTTAAAAAAAAAAAAAAAAGGCAGATATGGTGGAACACGCCTTTAATCCCTGCATTTGGGAGCAAAGACAAGCCAGCCTGGTCTTCATAGGGAGTCTCAGGCTAGCAGGGATACATAGTGAAACCTTGTCTCAAAAAACAGAATAGAAACCGGGTGGTGGTGGCGCATGCCTTTAATCCCAGCTCTCGGGAGGCAGAGACAGGCAGATCTCTGTGAGTTTGAGGCCAGACTGGTCTACAAGAGCTAGTTCCAGGACAGGCTCCAAAGCTACAGAGAAACCCTTTATCAAAAAAAAAAAATAGTTTAGCTAGGCTCTGGTCGGTCCTTCCTGGGGGTGGGCTGAAGGTTTGACACGGAGCCTGTTAGTGACAGGAGGGTGAGGAAGGGCGGAGAATAATGCTAGAACACCAGCCTGTCCATTAGCATCGCCCTGATGCTACTATTTTTAAGTAAAACCAATGTTGTTGTGTCTCTCCCCCCCCCCCCCATCACCATTAAACTGTAGTTCCCCAGGCAACCAGTGATAAGGGTGAAGTGGTTGTGAGAACTGGGAACCGAAACGAAGTTAAGCGAGTTGATCTCACAACCTTAAAGTTGGAATCTTTTGACAAAGAGCTGTAGATAAGATGAGGAGCTTGAGCAGAATATTGAAAGTAATGACTGCTCTGGGAACTGAGAGAAGAGAAGCCTCTACTGCCTTCCAATCAACACTGTTCCCTGTGCAGGGGAGGCAGGGAGGAGGCAGGAGGTTTGTCCCTAGGGCTCTGTGCATGCTAGGCAGAGCTCTGCCACTGAACTATATCCACAACCCTCTTTCTGCTTTTTGGTTTTGGTTTTGTAACAGGGCAGGCATACCTTGAATTTGTCCTGTAGTCTAGGAAGGCCTTAAACTTTCAGATCCTCCCTGCATCCACCACCAGTTCTGCGTCCCATCTCCAATCCTAATCAGATCCACCTCAGTTACTGCCCATTCCTCTTCCTGACAGCCAAATTTTATAAGCTATGTGCAGTCTTTTGGTTTTAGGGGTTTTTTTTTTAATGGTTTCTCTGTGTAGCCTTGGCTATCTTAGAACTAACTTTGTAGACCAGGCTGTCCTTGAAAACACAGAGATCCACCTGCCTCAGCCTCCCAAGTGCTGGGATTAAAGGTGTGTGCCACCACCACCCAGGGCTATCTCCAGTCTTAGAGTTCAAGAAACATCCACATTTTTATCCACTCCCCTGAGACATTCCTATACACTGCCTTGACAATTCTTTTTTTTTTTTATTTTTTTTTTTGGTTTTTCGAGACAGGGTTTCTTTGTGGTTTTGGAGCCTGTCCTGGAACTAGCTCTTTTAGACCAGGCTGGTCTCGAACTCACAGAGATCCGCCTGCCTCTGCCTCCCAAGTGCTGGGATTAAAGGCGTGCGCCACCACCGCCTGGCTCTGCCTTGACAATTCTAAGTATCTTGCTAATTTATTAATCATCTAAGAACAAGATACAAAGATGTTTAAAACGCAGCCCTCTTAGAATCACAAAGTATAATAAACTTGGCACTCAGGAAAGAGCTGTATATTAACTAGGATTAATAAAAAAAAAAAACCTGTCTATCTGCCTCCAGATAAGAGTGTTGTCTGATGTGGCAGCAGCGCAGTAGGGGTGGGAAAAAGATGAAGATGATAAAATGTGTGAATATATTATGAGGAGCCTTAAATTCTACATCACAGAACTTAAGTTATCTACCTTAAGCAATTTATTAATATAAATGACAAAAACTCTTAACCTCTTACAATCTAGATTCCTTTGGCAGTTTGGTCTGTCAACCTGATCTCAGAAAATTCATTTAAGGGTATACAATAAAATACTTAGAAATAAGAAGCCAATGTGAAGTATTTAAACACCTTAAAACAAGTAGTGTAGTTACAGATGTACTTCTTTATGCATTAATTAGCATGTCACAACAGGCCTAATTATATAATGTCAAAGGAGTAATGAGTATAAATTATATTGAGATACCTGCAATAACTTTACTATAATGTAAAAATATCAGATTTTGCCAGGCGGTGGTGGCACACGCCTTTTATCCCAGCTCTCAGGAGACAGAAGCAGGTAAATCTCTGTGAGTTCGAGTCCAGTCTGGTCTACAGAGCAATTTCCAGAACAAGCTCCAAAGCTACACAGAGAAACTCTGTCTCAAAAAAACAAAACAAAAAAAAAATCAGATTTTTAGTGACAAAGACATACTGCTAATACTACAGTGATTACCTACAATTATTGAAGAAATGCTAACTTTGAGCCAGAATTAATTGAAAATTAAAGTACATTTCTTCCTAGTCCAAGGTCTTTGAACCCTTAAATTTTAATCACACCATGCTCTGTTGATCTCTAGTTTCCGAATACCCCAGTGGAATAGTTCCAAGCAAGAATATGGCACATCAGATCCATGTTTGGGAAAGGTCATAGGTTGGGGTGAGGACAGGGAAGTGGTTACTTTTCTGTTTCTTCTTTACCCCTGGGGCATCAACTAATCCAATAATAACCCACTGTTCCCTAATAGCCAGAACCTTCACTGGCAGTAAACTTGTGAATGCATATATATGTAATTACAATTCTAGAAGATTATTCAGGACAGTAAATTGGAGCTTTTGTTGAAAATATATATGCTAAGCTGAAGATAATGAGATGTTAAAGTTTTGTAAGAATGTAGTTACAGTTCTATTTGGAAAAAAAATTAATGCAGAATCATACCTAGGTTAATTGTCAAAAGGGAAGATAGAGTTGGGAGTGGTGGCAAAGGCTTTTGAGCCCAGAATATAGGAGGCAAAGGTAGGAAGATCTCTGTGAGTTCAAGGCCAGCCTGATCTACAAAACAAGTTCAGGACAGCCAAGGATATATATATCAAGACCCTGTCTGGGGATAGTAGGGTAGAAATGAAAGTATTAGCTAATCACCTAATTTTGAAAAATTGCATTGACTCTTGAAGCTCAATAGAGTATTGACTGTCTATACTCTCAGCTCTTGAGAGGGTAAAGATGGAGGATCCTAGAGAATTTGAGGCTGGCCTATCCTGGAACTAGCTCTTGTAGACCAGGCTGATCTTAAACTCACCTGCCTCTGCCTCCTGAGTGCTGGGATTAAAGGCATGTGCCACCACCACCCAGCTAGATCTAATCTTCTAATGCTTGTAAAAGCCAACTTATTTTCAAGTCTTATTTTTGAACCATCTCCCTAGCCTCTGGATGTAAAATTTTTGATGACATGTTAGATATCTAGAATACCTTCTGTTGTAATTTTTATCTTCATTTTCCAGTGACAGATACCCTATGACAAAAATTGTCTATTAATAATCTCACTTTACAAAAGAGGAAACTGTGACTTAATAAAAGTAATTTATTTATGGTTATATAACTGATGAGTAACAGAACCAAATGTGTTTAGGTTGAATGTTTAGAGTTCTTTTCTTGGCCAGAGTAGTTTGGCCTAAGCTTAGTTCTATTTTCATTATAATTCAGGGAGTTAATCGTAATCACACTGTATAAAATCAAATCAATCTTTGGCCTACATACTTGATTTTTTTAATTTGTGTGTCTCTGTCTGTCTGTCTGTTTTGTCTGTGTCTCTTTGCCTGTGTGTGTGTTCAAGGGTACAGAGAAGTGAGCATCAGATCCCCTAAAGTTAAAGGCATTGAGTATGCTGAGTTCTTCACTCTAGACCTCTGACAGAGTAGTAAGCACTCTTAATTGCTGAACTATCTCTACAACCACCACACTGGGTATTTCAAAACTCAGACAAAACACAAAACTTTCCCCTCAGTTTTTGGTGCTGGGGATCAGACACAGGACTGTGTACATACTAGGCAAACATTCTGCCTCTGAGCTAATCCCTAAACCACAAAAACTATTTGAATAAAATGTGAACTTCACTGGGTATGGTAG